TTTAAGTATTTATATAAATTATAGCTTATAAATTTTTTAATATAGAAATATTTTTTTAGAAGCCCTATTTTTTAATTTTTTAAGATTATTTAATCTTAAAAATTAGCTATTTTATAATATCTTTAAAAAGAATTATATTATAGATTAAATATTTTAAAATAATATTTCTATATTTATATATATAATTTTAATATATATATTTAATCTTATTTTTAAGATCTTTTATTTCTTTCTTAATAATACTAATTTAATATATTATATAATTATTTCTTTTTCTCTAAAAAGTTCTTTATTAATTTATATTTCTTTTTCTTTATTTTATACTAAATTTTAGAATTAGAATAAATCCTCTTCTATTATTTTAGAGATAAGTATAAATTTATAATAATACTTATTTTTTTTATTATTTACTAGTTCTAGATTTTCTTCTTTTTTTATATTATTTTATATAATAAAAACTATTTAATTTTATTTATTATAATATTAGATTTATCTTTAAATCTTAGATTTTATTATAATTATATATATCAGGCCTCTATAAAAGAAGTAATTAAAATTATAAAATTATAATATTAATATAATAGCTCTCTAGAGATTATAAAAATATAATATATAATTAATAAAAGATAAATTTATATTTAAGAAAATTAAATACTAGTTCTTAGCTAGAAGAACTAGTCATAATATATATTTATATATTATATAGTAGCTGCTTAGCTACTATAATATATCTCAGGCATGCTTATATAGCATCTACAGATAGTAACATATAACATGAATTTAATTTTAGATTTATAAAACTAAGTTTAATATTATTAAAATTTTTTCATTTATTTTATATTTTAACTATAGGGCCTGTTAAAAATAACTAATTATAAAATTATAATTCTTTAAAAGAGAAAAATAACTATTATATATTATTATTTATAAATACTATATAAATATATCTAAAACATATTATAATAGCTAAATAGCTATTATATAATATATAAATATATATTATACTACTAGTTCTTAGCTAGAAGAACTAGTAATTAATTTTATTAAATATAGATCTATCTTTTACTAACTATATATTATATCTTTATAATTCCTATAGAGCTGCTATATTAGTATTACAGCCTTATATTTCAGGATTAGTAGGAGAGTATGAAAATAATTAATAGAAAACTTATTTAAAGTATAAAATTTAAAAAAAATCTAAATATTAAATATTAATATAATTATCTAAAATATAATTAAGAAATAATAATATAAAGTTTTTATCATTAGACTAATATATTACTATACTAATTTATAATATAGTATTATAAGACTTAATTTAATCTAGAAAAATATTAATAATATTTATAAAATTAAAATAATTATAAAAATAAAAGAAATTAACTAATAAGTTATATAAATATAAAGAAATACTTATAATAATAAAAAATAAAATATTTAGAGAGAATAAAAAGAAAAAAAAGAAATAAATAAATAATAATATTTTATTACTATAATATTATTAAATTATATATAAATTTACTTATAATAAATAATAGTTGTATAATATTTATTTATACTATTCAAATTATCTATACTAATAAAATAATAATACATTAACTTTTAGTACTTACTATAAGTTTAGTTTTAGATTTATAAAGTTAAGTTTAATATTATTAGATTTTTTAGTTAATTTATAGATTAGATATTTTTGATTAATCTTATTCTAGTACTATATTATAATATAATAGATTTAATATATATAATTTTATACTTATTTTCTAATCTTTAAAGACTATAAATAACTAGAAATAATTTTTTATAATTAAAAACTTTTTATTAATTATTTTTATTTTTAATTATTCTATTTTTTAGAATATTTAATATTTTTACAGTTAATTAATTAGCCATGTTCAAGATAAATAATTAATTAATTCTAGAATTAATAAACATTTTAATACTTTTAGTAAGTATTTTAAATCTAATAATATAGATATATAAAATAATATTTAATTTTATTATATATAATATAATTACTAGTTTCTAGATTAATTTTAAAACTATATATTTATTTTTTTTAAAAAAAATTAATATATCTAGAATCTTTAATTTCTAATTATTTATTTTAAAGATTTTTATTATTTAGATTACTAGTTTTTTTTTATCTAGAATTTTTATTTTTTTTAAATTTTTTAATTTAAATTTTTTCTTATTTATTTAATTAAAATATATAACCTTTAGGTATTTCTTTATATTATATTAAAAATAAGTTTTATATATTATATATTATAATCTTTATTCTAGACTTTTTTTATTTAATTAATTAGAATATCTAGTAAGAATATTTAAATCTATAATATTAATTTATTTAATACTTATTTATACTATATTTATATAATATTATATAATAATATTTTTTTATTTATACTATTTAAATCTCTATATTAAGTTTTTAAAAATAATAAAAATATTAAGATTTTTTATATAAAATAAATTTAAAAAGTAGATTTAATTCCTATTTTGAAATATTATATTATAAAATATTTAAATAAAACTAGTTTAATTTAAATAAATATATTTAAAAATTAATTATTATAATTTATTATACTAGAGTTCTTTTATATATAATTAATAAAATATTTTTATTTTTTATCTTTATTAAGAAGTTTTTTAAAATTTTTATTGAATATTAATAAAATTAATCTTTTTTTTTATATTTTTTCTATATTTTTTTATATTTATTATATATATATAGTTCTAGCTATTTTATTAAAAAAATTCTTAATATAATAAATCTTATTAAAATATATTTAATTTTAAAATATTTTTTACTAATTAAAGCTATTTACTTATAATATTATTAATAATTTATCTATTATACTTTAGTGATTTTTTAATATTTAAAGATTTTAAATAAGATTTTATTATTTTAAATTAAATTATTATTTTTAAATCTAAAATTAATATTTTTATAGATAATTTTTATTAAATTATTAGATTATTATTTTATTATTTTTTTAGAGTTTTAAGGGTTTTTTTCTGTTATTATATATATTTTTTAATTTTTTTATTATAATTAATTTTACTATTCTATAATCTGGATTAGGACTAAAGTATAATTAATTTATTATTTAATAAAATATTATATTATTTTAATACTATTATTCTACTAAATAGAATAATTATAATTATTAATACTATTAAAAATATTATAAAGATTAATTTATAGATTTATTATTATTATTATTATAATTAATAATTCTTAATTTTAAATTTATTTTTTTAGAATATTATTTTTATATTTTTTAAAATATCTTTTTATTAACTATTTTTTAGATTCTAGAAATATAAAAAGATTTTTTATAAATAAATTTATTAGTATTATATTTTTTACTAATTCTTATTTAACTTAGTTTTAAAAGTTTTAATTTATTAAATTTTTTTAAGATTATTAGTAAAACTGAAGATATATTACTAGTTATAATAATATTTTAAAATTGATAGATATTAAAATTATTAAAATACTAAAATATAGCCTGAAAATATACTTTCTATTATTATTATTTTTTAAATCTACTAGCTATTTAAATATTTATATATAATCTACTAAAATATTAGTAATTATCTTAACTAATAATAGAATCATAGGATATTAATATCTCTAAGTATTATTATTGAGAATTATATAGTATATTTTACTATATATAGTCATTAAAATATTCTATAAAATTATAGGAAATATATATTATTCATGATCCTAGTAAAATTCTAAATATAACTAGTCAATATTTTTATATACATTTAATAATATATAAAATAACTATTTAATAGTACTTATAAAATAAATTTTAAAGATTTGACTATATTATAGTTATTACTATTTAATATATATATAATTATTAAGATTTAAATATAATTATATATTAGTTGGAAGTTTAATAACCTTTAAATCTAATAATATAATAGTTATAAAAAATATAATAAATATTGTAATGGTAAAAACTACCGTTCAACCAAAAAGCCACTAGTGGTTATCTGACTGTCTTTCTAATTATATTATATACTGATACACCCCCTAGAAAGTCAGTATAGTAACCACTTATCTAGTATATTGTTTTTGTTTCTTGTTATTTCTTGTTATTGTTATTTTCTTATTATTATTAGGTGGATTAGATGCTGTAAATTTATACTTAATAGTCTATATAAGAATTAAACTTATAAGTTCCTGTTATATTAGTCAGGTTCAAAGACCCAGGCTCATAATCTATTATAATAGTAAAAACTACTATTCAACTAAAAAGCCATTAGTAGTTATCTGACTGTCTTTCTAATTGCATTATATGCTGACAATAAATATAGTTTTAACTGTAGATAGATTAATGTTATTAATATATATAAATTTAGGTATCTTTTTAATGAATGTATAATTCAGTGGGTCTTTAAACAAAGGTATTAACCATGTAATACTATATATGATTATAGAATAATACCCCCATAATAATTATATAGGAATATTAGAGCTAGTTGGTATATGCCTACCTTATTGATATATATATATATATATATATTATTTTAATTCAAGAAATTATATATTTAGGGACTAATAGAGCTCTAGTATATAATTTACTGATAAATAAATATTTTAAAGTGATATAGTATATTATTAAAATATTAAAAATTAATATAGAAGATAAAATATAGTAAAAAATATTAAATATTTAAACGTCAATATAAAAAACATAACTCATATAACACATTATACATATAGAATTAATAAATCTATTAATTTAATAAAACCAGTAAGATTTATTGTAAAGATGCCTATTTTGACATGCCCGTAGTGTTTTATAAACTACTCAAGATGCTCCCTAGTCCTATCGTTTCTAAAAGGAAATACTACACCCAAATAGGACTCCATTAGTATTAAGTGTCAACCAAGCGTTCTGCCCTGTCAATAGAGACAGTCCCATGTCCTGCCTGTTATAAAAACAAAGACTTGTATATACTATAATACTCAGTTAACCCTCTGTATCAATATCCATTTCATCTTCTGGGCTGCCATTTTTTTGAAGGTTCTTGGCGTGCCCCGAGTTTTGGTCCGTACCATGTCGCGCATGAGGACCGTTTATCCGTACCATATCAGATAGACGCGGTTGCAGACCCAACCTGGCCCTTTCTCGAGTTTCTATCAATGCTCGTCGTACTTGGTCCTTGTCCTTCGGGACTGTAAGCGACTCAGGTTCCTTGTAGACAACTAGCTCCCTGCATTGATGTTTATTATTCCCAACCAGCAGTTTTGGGATTGGTAACTTGTCCTCTAGGCCAGGTAATATCGTGATCACCCGATCAAGGGTGTCGCTTTCTGTCAATTCTTGGTCCAGGTCATGAATGTAAACAGTTGTATCTGTGTCATCCAGCATCATGGCGTCACCCGGGTGATGTAGCTGTGGTACATCCTTGGCTCCCAGGCCTCCGGGCAAGCGAGATACATTCAGAGACTCTAATGGCCACGAATTAGCATAGGTACAAACAATTTGGACCATAAATAACCCCCATCAAGGCATACCTATCTTTAAGCGGCCGAACTTTTTCGCTAGAGGTTGATCATCAAGTTCCCCCTCGGCGGGGCGTTTTCTTCCGTGAGCTGTAACATCAAACTGATGCGCCGCCATCTCCTAAAAGCACAGTGCAAGGAAGCAACTCTTATAGAAAAGAGGCTGATACTGTTTCATAATATTGCCACTGCATAATAAAACCTATCGTGCCTTCAACTATATCCGAGTTGTTGCTTAATGCTTGGAGTAAAGTTCTCGAAAACTTTTGGGAGTTTGACTCATCTCTCTCCCTTCAGATTGAAAACTAGAACATTCGACAATTTGCACACCATCACACACCTAGCCATCCCACCTCGGAGAACGAAAACACAACCATTGACAATGCCTTCGACTCCTCAGGACGATCTAAAATGGACGTCCAAAATTGTTCGCGATACCTTTCTCCAATATTTCCAAAAACATGGCCATACATTCGGTAGGTGTGAAGGCGATGATAACAAAGGAATTGATAATATGAGAACACCCACTAATGAATACCACTCCATACTGAACAGTTGCCTCGTCTGCCGTCGCACCGCTATCTGATCCTACCCTGCTCTTTACGAACGCGGGGATGAATCAGTTTAAGTCAATATTTCTGGGAACAGTGAACCCGAATTCAGATTTTGCACAACTCAAAAGTGCAGTCAACTCCCAGAAGGCTAGTCATTGGAGATCGACCACTTCGAGTTCTTGCTAACATATATATACAGTGCATACGTGCAGGTGGAAAGCATAATGTCAGTAGTAACGTATCTTGATTGCGAGTTCCATCTAATGTTTGCTTTTAGGATCTGGATGATGTTGGAAAGGACAGCTACCACCACGTGAGATTATCGATCAAATCGGGGGATGTATGACTGTGTAGCTGACACCATTGGATAGACTTTCTTTGAAATGCTCGGTAACTGGAGCTTTGGCGACTATTTCAAAAAGGAGGCTATTGGATACTCTTGGGAATTGCTGACGAAGGTGTATGGTTTGGACCCGAGTCGCCTCTACGTTACTTATTTCGAGGGAAGTAAAGAAGGTGGTCTCGAGCCTGACCTGGAAGCCAAAAACCTGTGGAGGGCCGTTGGGGTTTCCGAAGACCATATCCTTCCTGGGAATATGAAGGATAATTTCTGGGAAATGGGAGATCAAGGTCCGTGCGGTCCTTGTAGTGAAATCCACTATGACCGTGTCGGTGGCCGGAATGCCGCCCAGCTTGTCAACCAAGACGATCCCAACGTTTTGGAAATCTGGAACAATGTTTTTATCCAATATAACCGCGAAACCGATGGATCCTTGCGCTCGCTGCCCAACAAGCATGTGGATACTGGACTCGGTTTCGAACGGCTTGTGTCCGTTCTTCAGGACAAACCGTCCAATTATGATACAGATGTTTTCAGCCCCCTCTTTGAGATGATTCAAAGCATCACCGGGGCACGTGAATACCAGGGCCGATTTGGGACCGACGACTCTGATGGAATCGACACTGCCTATCGCGTGATTGCAGACCACGTTCGCACCCTCATGTTTGCGATTTCAGATGGAGTTGTGCCGAATAACGAGGGTCGGGGCTATGTCATTCGTCGTGTACTGCGCCGGGGTGCGCGTTACGCACGAAAGTATTTCAACGTCGAAATCGGGAACTTCTTCTCAAAAATTGTACCCACAGTTGTAGAACAGCTTGGCGACATGTTTCCTGAGCTAAAGCAAAAGCAACAGGATGTGATTGAGATACTGAATGAGGAGGAAATATCCTTTGCAAAAACGCTGGACCGTGGAGAGCGGCAGTTTGAGCAATATGCTCAGCGGGCAAAGGCTGCAGGAGACCATAAATTGCACGGTGCAGACGTTTGGAGACTTTACGACACTTTCGGCTTTCCGGTTGACCTAACCCGAATTATGGCCGAGGAGCGTGGCCTTCAGATAGATGACCATCAGTTTGAAGATGCACGAGCGAAAGCCAAAGAGGCAAGTAAGGGCCAAAAGAAAACAACCACTGGAAGCGTGAAACTGGATGTTCATGACCTGGGAAAGCTGGAGAAGATGCATGATGTGCCGAAAACTGATGACAATGCCAAGTTCGAAAAAGGGAATGTCGTCGCCCAAATTAAGGCAATATATCACGCAAAAACATTTCATTCGTCCACCCAAAACATACCGGCATCAGAGCAAGTGGGTGTCATTCTTAACCGCACCAACTTCTACGCTGAGCAAGGTGGGCAAGAAAATGACACAGGACGCATTATTATTGACGGCCAGGCTGAACTTGAAGTCGTTGACGTTCAGCTCTATGCTGGCTATGTTTTACATACTGGGTTTATGAAATATGGCTCTTTTAACGTCGAGGATACTGCCATTTGTGAATACGACGAGCTTCGCCGGTGGCCCATCAGGAACAACCATACCGGAACGCATATCCTGAACTTTGCATTGAGAGAAGTTTTAGGGAATGGAATTGAACAGAAAGGCTCCCTCGTTTCCAATGAGAAACTGAGATTCGATTTCTCCCACAAATCTGCCGTTGCGGATTTGGACCTGGCTAGAGTCGAAGATTTGTCAACCCAATATATCCGCCGCAACTGCATTGTGTACTCACAGGAAGTGCCCCTCGCTATAGCGCGAAAAATTGCAGGAGTCAGGGCTGTATTTGGCGAAACGTACCCCGACCCAGTTCGTGTTGTTTCCGTTGGTGTTAAACTCGATGACATCTTGGAGAATGTTGAAGACAAGCGTTGGGAAGATGTTAGCATTGAATTTTGCGGAGGGACCCACGTGCAAAAGACAGGGGACATCAAAGATTTGGTTATCCTGGAAGAAAGTGGTATCGCGAAAGGTATTCGCAGAATTATTGCCGTTACAGGAGAGGATGCACACAAAGTGCAACGCGTGGCCGCGGACTTTGAGAAGCGACTTGATTACTTGGAGACCATGCCATCAGGGCCAGTTAAAGAGCAAAATGCTAAACAGATACAGGTAGAACTTAACCAGCTCTCAATATCTGCGATACAGAAATCAAAATTCCGCGAACGCTTCACGCACATCAACAAAAAGATCATCGAAGAGCAAAAGACACAACAGAAACTTGAGTCGAAGAAGGCTGTTGAAAGTATAACCTCGTATTTCGAGGCACCAGAAAACTCTGCAAAATCCTGGCTTATTGCCAAGCTCCCGATATCCGCGAATGCCAGAGCCATCAGCGAGTCCTTGACTTACGTGAAAACTAAGCTAGCGGATAAAACTGTCTACGTTCTTGCCCCCAGCATTGATGATGGTCGTGTCGCCCATGGTTGTTATGTCTCGAAGGTAAGCGCTCAAGTTTGTACCGTTTGGGATTTATGGAATCTAACACATCATAACCTCCACCCGCAGGCGATGAGTGAACAGGGAGCCTCTGCTAGTGAATGGGCCACTGCTGTTTCAAGAGCGGTTGGGGGTAAAGCAGGCGGCAAAGGCCCTACTTCTATTGGCAACGGGGTCAACCCTGATAAGGTTGACGATGCCATCGATTTGGCTTCGGAATACCTGAGCAAATTCAAACTTTAGCCTCAAGGCAATTAGCATGCAGGATTTTCTGTCTCTTTCGATAAGTCTCAACCTTTTTGGGGCCCTGAATGAAATCAAAAGTGCTTTCCTTTTTACATCTCTCCGCATTGGATGATTGTAACATCTTGGTTTGGTTTGTCTCTGGTAGTACGGGTATTCTCAATCATTTGCACAATGTCCATCCCCTCGATAACTTGGCCAAAGACAACATGTTTGCCGTTCAGAAACGGAGTCGCCGCTGTCGTGACAAAGAATTGACATCCATTTGTATTTGGCCCTGAGTTCTGAAAACGGTTAGTCTCATGTTGCTTATACTTTATATAGCTTGGAATTGCTCACAGCCATACTTAGCAGACCTGGACGGTCATGCCTGAGAACAAAGTTTTCGTCTGGAAATTTAGGGACTCCGTAGATAGAACACGAGCCTGTGCCATCGCCATTGATAAAATCCCCTCCTTGGATCATAAAATCCTTGATCTGAAATAAAACACTAGGCTTAAAAGTCGCTCAAACCGGGCGCATAGGCATATTGGCACTCACTACTCTGTGGAATCTACTTCCTTTGAAGCCTTGAGGACGGCCTTGCTGATTCTTGCTTTCTCCAGTGCAAAACTGGCGGAAATTTTCAGCAGTTCGGGGCGTCACATCTGCAAAGAGTTCCAATTTCAGACGGCCCAAAGGCTCACCTGGTAGGCCGGACCACTGTTAGCTTGAACTAAGGACGCTGGTTACTATTACAGCCGTACTGCACAATACCAGAAGATCAAAGTGTATGATCAACCAGCTCATCCATATCTCACGCGCTTGTTCGGGGCAATGTGTGATCAGAAAGTGGGGGCGGACCTACCACCGAGAGCAATATCAAAAAACACAATTGGATTCGTCTTCGCGTCCTGCGTTGAGCCTGCGCCGCTGGTACTCATTTTGGGGCACTGTTACACACTTTAGTGGTTGTAGCCACGAAAAAGGAAGCGTTTTGTCAGGGAAGTAGATCGGTCGCCCCCTGGAGCCACGAGCCTTTCGAGTTGCTTCTCACCGGCGCCGGGCCGAATTGCCTAGTCAGGCAAACAGCATCTTCGAATATCGGGGCCGTTCGACCCATCCAGGGCTTGGCATGGGGGAGGAGTAAGATCGTCCCGTGATCAAAGACATGTCAGCCAAAGGCCTCTTCCACCACGGAAAGACAGGTTGTCTTCGATATCCGAAAATTCACGTATTGGCCTCCGGAAAACTGCGAAAATCGGTAAAATCCAGGGTATTTGCAGCGCAACCGCAGCTGCTATCAGTGATGCTCTATCAGGTGCTCGTTGAAAGGTGTTCTGCGAGCTACCCCCCTTGGACTCGATGAATTGAACTGCCGTTCTCGACACGATCTGTCAGGGCTTCCAGAGCGGAGTCCACTTTATCTCTCGAGAAGCTGAAGCTAGTGTCGTGGTGCTTTCGATCTAAAGCACTTTATTTTCACAAAACGCACTCCTAGCCACTCCTTCGACTCCTATTCTATACTACATTCTCGTCAATATGTCTTCCACAGCAAGCTCTGCGCCAGGAGCGTCTAATTCTGACAACAACTCAAATGATGATAACTCAAGCCCCACAAGCTCCCCCCTCCTATTTTTTGTTGCTCTTGGGTTTGGGGTTGTTTTCACAAATTTATGGTATGCCTGGCTTTGTACTCTACATATCATGACTGATATCGATGATGACTCGCAGGATTATTGTTGGTGTGAAATACTGCTTTAGATATAACCAGCGCAATCGCCAGATACGCAGTGAAGAGACCGGCGAGCCAATAGACTTGGTTGCAATGCCGCGAACACACCGAAGAAGAAGGGAAAAGAAGTTGATGACCATGGACGAAGTAAACGAGCGATTTCCACTTGTCAAATACAAAGTGTGGAGGTCTTCCCGGGCAAATGCAGGACTATCGACTACTGGTGGTATATCGGCACCTGATACGGGTCACACTCGAGAATTTCGGGAAGATCAGCAACCCATTCACGCGAAAACTGCTTCCCCTGTGGCTGCGTCCGAGGTTAAGTCTGAACAGGGGTTTGATTCGACTCGGTTGCACTCGCCGAAGCCTGCCGATGATGGTGTATCGCTACCACCGACCGAAGAGAAAAGCCTCAAAGATTTAACCCAACCGAACCACGCATACTCGAGGGTTAGCTCGGATCGGAATGATATAGAACAAAGGGACCCGGATGCTCATAGTAATTTACAAGAGGACGATGAAGTCATTCTTCCAGCTGCCGTTGCTACAGACCTTGTTACAAGCCCTGGAGACTCGTGCGCAATCTGCCTCGACATCATCGAGGATGACGATGACATCCGTGGCCTTACTTGTGGACATGCTTTTCACGCCTCGTGCGTCGACCCATGGCTGACAAGCCGTAGGGCTTCGTGTCCGCTATGTAAGGCAGATTACTATACACCTAAACCACGTGCCGACGTCACTGAGCCGTCTGCAACACATGACCGGTCTGGTCGACGCAACACAACCAGAATTGCTGCTCCAAACCAACCGCAAGCTGTATTTATCAGAGGGCGAGTTAATCCATTTAGGTCTCACACGGAATCGCCTCGACGACCACCACAAAGGCCTTCTGACATCGTTTCTAATTCCTCGAGGCCAACCGGCCGCCACTTCTGGGGAGCGTGGCCCCACTCCACACAAAGTACTCCGGAAACCGCTGAAGAGGACCGGCCACGAAATAGGTTTTGGGGGCCAGGACTGCCGTCTCGATTATTTAACATACGCGTTCCTTTCAGAGCCGGAAATCGGAGTTCTACAGCAACTCCTGACACTTTACCAAATAACCCACAAACTCCTAGCCAGCTGGAGGCCGGCCAAACCCACTGAATGGGACTTAAAAGCCCCCGCAACTAGTTGCACTTAATATTTTACACACCGTACCTCACCACCAGCATCTGGAATGCTTGTTTGAGGGGATTTGGGATGCATGGATATTGGTCCGTCGAGCCCACAGAAGCCGCTCCTTCGGCTGGAAGGAACATATTATACATCGGAGTTTTGAGCAGCGTTGCTTTGGCCTTTTTATTTTATTTTATTTTTTTTTCTTCTTCTTTGCGGATGCTTGGGCAATGGATTTCTTTGTTGATATCACCAATATATGGGAATTCTGTGATGGGCGTTGGTTCTGCTTTTAGGGTTATATATTGACGGGTAGGACCTTGAGCGAGTCTCAATCTGCGATCGCATATGCATGTACTCCCAGAGATTGTATGATTTTTTCTGGCATCGAAGGTGTTCTCTATATCTCCATCAGCTCTTATTCGCAGTTGGCTAACCAAACGAAATATTACTCATTTGGAACCGCACTTATACAGTTATACTACCTTCCACACCCCGAATCAAAAGACAATAGTTCAACAAACAACATTTTCTAACGATACAATTGTAAATAGCCATCGAGAATGACTGCCAGCATCACAACCAACGAGATACACCATGGATATTTCACTTCTGTGTTCTGCTGGGCCCAACACCAGCACCAATAACGCCTGGTAATTCAGTGTTCCCAACGCGAAATATCATTCCAGCGGCAGCACCGACCACCACCATGATAGCTATAGTGACGCCAGCAATCAAAAAGAAAGGGGAACTGAGGTCCCTTTTCTGACAAGCAGCGCCGCCCCATCGGACCTTTTGTCCCACCCCACCTTCTGTCTTAACGTAAGTCTCGTGGCAGCGACAGGCGTAGCAGTCGCCGGATTTCTCATAGCATGCACCATGCCCCGAACAGGTGTTTGTTGCTTCATTGCAAGACGAGTTCGATGCATAGCAGACGGGCGCAAGGGACAGCGGAACATCTGCTCGTTGTTCAAAGACTATGGGCTGGGCATCCCTGCTTAAAGTGGCAGAGGCACCGACCTTCGTAATGTGCGGCGACCGCTTTGAATACGAAGACCTGGGCCTTACCTTAGAGTAAGGCAGGACTACTGCCGTTGCTGTCTTGCCATTCAACGAATGCGAATGTAGCTCAGAGAAAAGGGATTTCAGGCTGTGTATATAGGTCGAAGAAGCCTTGGACTTTACAAACAGCCGCGGTTAGCATTGTTCTTCGATATTACGCAACGGCATCGAAACGGTTATGAATACCTCGAATGAAATGTGTACGACCATGGTTCCCTTGCGAGCATTGAGCCACAATTCGCCCATGTTAGCCTGGCTAAGAAGCTGGCTATGAAAGCCGCGACTGAACTTTTGTGAACCGAAGTTTCGCGGAAGACAAAATTGTAGGAAATCCTGACAAGCAGGTTAGTATTTGCGCAATACCCCGTCTGCGTACATAGGCTAAATCAGCGATCACCTCATTTGTCTGGAAATAACCATTCCTGTGGTTGGAGTGGTTGTAGAACGAGCAGTGCTTGCTTTCTGGGCTGACTATGCCATCAGGGCGATTCTCTAAAAGGAAGTCGATGAAATCATCTCCTGCTGAATCTGTAGCGAATCTAGAAATCACCAATTCACTTTCATATTCATTTCGGATTGAAGATTCTGGGGTAGTGTTTCATTAGAATTAGAATTATACTCTCCACTAATGAAGGTGACGTTGACGTACCAGCTTCGTTATCTAGCCCTTCCAATATGACAGTTATTGTATCTAGGTCTCCATCGCCAGCTAGCGCACCGAAAAGCTGGCCTGGAGGTCCCGCAAATCTACCCAAGAAATCGATGCGACTTTCATCTGATCCCTCTAGCTCTGACGCGGTGAATGATTTGGATCGCAGCTCCAATAAACGCTGAAGAGTGGCACTCGACGTGACTGAAGACTTCAAACCTTGCCCTTGGGGGTTTAACCCGAAAGAAATCACTGAAGCTTCCAAGGCGGTAGTTTCGGTAGTGAGGGTGGCAAACGTAGCGAGGAAGCCGAGGAGAGACCGCATACTGGAATAGGTCTGGGAGTAGTGGAAAGTGGCGCGGTGTCACTTCCACTATATTTGTTCACAGTTGGCTTCTATACAGGTAGCTGTAGGATAAACCTTAGGGCATAGTGTGACTTGCCTTGGTAGTCAGAGCCTTGTCAAGCACTGAAATTATTGTTCGGTCTGAATCATTTCCTTGTAAGTAGCCTGTCTGGACCATGATCACGTGCACTAGCTTGCGAGGAGGTACACAGTTATTATCAGGCGGACTTCTGCTCTGGAGTAATAATTCACCCAGTTATTAACTGACTTCTCTTATTTTGGTCTTCTTATGGAAATGTATGTATTCATACTTCTTTTGGCCCCAATCCCTCAGAAACCCAAATACAGCCCAACCTCTTGTTGGCGATCCCCGACCACATGGTATTTTTGCGGAATTTTGCAGCTGATTTGAGTTGTCAACCATCTAAGAGCTCCACATTTACGGACTATAGTGAAGTTGGTGAGGGCAATCGTTTTGTCTCCGACAGATGTGCCATACCAATGCCGCTATTAAGGCCGCAGTCTCATAGCCCTCGATTGCCCCTAACAACCCGTTCGTCAAGCCGCTGCTTTTCACATTCGTCCAACCTACTCTATGTAAAAGTCAAACGACCGCCGTGGTTCAGGTAAACTCCAGCCTATATGCACAGACATTTCGCCAACTAATGTAATGACGGCAGGAGGTTCGCGTCCCGAGTTTTCTTTCTTGGGGCCGCCGCCTGCACCTGGAACTCATTCGTTTCAGTACAACAGGATACGACATCCCGCGATGTAGAATTCCAGGGTCATTCCCCTGACAGTCATACGCTTGGAGATACCAAATCCAATAAAACAGCGAAACCACAACAAAGCCATCCGAGTCCCGTTTTCATACCTATCGGTTGGAGACGCTTAGAAGAGGGCAAATTCTATGCAGCATCAGATCCGGAGTGGAAGACGTTCGTCAAAATCTCTAAAGACCAAAAGAAAATTCGAGTGCTCAAAGGTAATTCATCTCACCAACCCCTAATATGTCAATTTTTATTCTCAACCAAATAGATGAATTGGCATCCATCGTCCTGACTGAGGCATCGCAATCAAGCCTCCTATTACGTATGTTGGGGCCACCCTTCACAGTGTCACAACAATGGTTGCTACACCATTTCCCATCCCGTGCACCGCCAGAATACTATCAACCAGGGTATGTACGCTCCCTATTTAGAGTTTTTCTTGTCTCTCACGATTAGATAGGTTGGAAATCACCGATGCTTGGATATCGTGGGTTTGGAAACCCATGTCGAACGAGAACATTAGCAAGTCTGTACGACCGTATTTTGTGGCGCTTGGGGTAAAGGATGCATATTCAATACTCTGGGGGAATTTCCTTGATAAGTTTAGGACCAATTATCGCGAAGATGGGAGTGCATTGGGCTTGCCGGACTCATCTTCGAAGGCGTTACTGCCGTCTGACTTCACGGCACTGGACAAGCTCGGTGATGCTTCGCGGCCAGAGTCGCAGCTTTTCCAGCCTTCTAGTCCCCAAAACAGAGCGGGTCAAACTGACGCGGACAGACGCCCTCGGCCTTCAACCATTTTGTCCACACTACAGTGGTTGCCTTTGCCAAAATTTGGCCCCGGGACAGATCTATATGTAGCCTCACTGGCTTTCAAACATCGCATTAATGAATGTCAGGAACGCGAATTACGTGTTTCCCGCCGGGGGACTTTCTTGGTTCGTGGCCCGGTGGGCCTCAGTGGCTCGGTTGGATTCTGCAGAATCGAAGTGGAGGGGGAATATGACCCAGCAGCCTCGGAGTGGGTGTCCATTTCTATGTACCTCAAAGACATTCGTTCTTTCAAGCAGAAACCCCTTGGTGGAAAATAAGGATACGCCGCATTACACGGTGGGTGTGGTTATCGACATCTATATATATAGAGGCCGCAGTTCTGCTTGAGCCACCGGCACATTGGCTCTTGCAGTATCTATGCGTTAAAAAGCCTCGCGCCCCTTTTTAATAGAGCAGGATACTCAATGTATTCTCTAATGCTTCAAAACCATATCATCAGAAGTTGCATGCATTGTTACTCTGGCTGCCTTGGGAGAGTCGTAACTTGGTTCGTCCCGCCGTTTACCTCAGTACAGGACTTAGGAAGCTCAATGGGCGTTTGCGCTATGCTTACTAACTCATCGGCGACTACGTCGTGTTTTACCCCGCGGTCCCTTGGAGTAGACCTCAATCCCATCGAAGAAATCTGCCATTCTCCGAAGAATCTCAATCTAAGAGAGCCACAATACTCCTTTGGAAGACAAATAAGCGATAATGGCACTTGCCCCGAGATTCACTGGACAGAAGTTGATGCCTCTTGGAGGTCATCAGCCACAACATACGCTTGAACTGTGTTTGTTAGCCCCGGCCCTAGGGGAAAACAGAGTAGAGCAGCACTGACAGGTATTTGATGTACTGGAAAGATCTCGACTACGTTTGCCCTGTCAGTCACAAATTGCTACTTAGAAGTTGCCAATACTGAACACTGCATTTGCCTAGTTCTCTGCGAAGCTATTCAAGACCTTCTACACTGCGGCCATACCCATAATCACCGAAAGGTATCAGTCATGCATCCAGGTTATCTTCCGCCAGCACATTCAACCTTGGCATCCGGCATCGACGCTCACGCACGAAGCTGGTGCCGCGGTTCTCAAGACAGCCCCAGAAAAATTCTGGAAGTTCAGTGCGGCCTTGTTCGAACACCAACAAGAATTTTTCGATCTGAACGTAGTGAATGAAACACGCAACCAAACGTACGAAAAGCTTGCAAAAGTCGCAGAAAGTGTTGGCGTAGATAAAAACGATATTTTGGAACTGTTGATAGTCGCCGACCGACCTGGCGAGGAAGGACAATTGAACGCCGGCAACAAGGTCACGAATGATATCAAGTTAATGATCAAAGTATGTGCCTGGGAATCCATTCTCGATGAAACCGACGCAACCTAATACCGAGCGCAGGCAAGCCGAGTGGTCGGGGTTCATGTTTCGCCAACAGCGTATTTCAATGTGCGATACCTAAGCCACAATTCCTCGCGTTTGAAAAACGCTGACTTTAGGCGTATAGGGCATTGAAGAACCGGGAATCAGTAGTAGCTTCACTCCTACTCAATGGGAGCAATGGCTGGCCAAAAATGCAATTTGAAACCCCCAATACTTGAACGCATATCTCAGGACCGGAAAGGCAGTGGAGAATAATATTGTGATTTTAACGACCCTCAAGCTTTAGTGTGTGAGTGAAAGGTCTTGCTTATATGAATCATACCGTATTTCATTTGGAATTTCTTGCATGGAGTATCGGTTTGCTCTGGGATGATTATAAAATGCATTTGTTTTGCGCAACAGAGCATGTCAAGATGTTCCTTCCTTAGTATCTCGGTCTTTCGACGCGGTTCAACTGCCAATGATGGACATGATCTTCATAACCTTCGGAATAAATATTTATTGTGAGATTGGTGGCTGGTAATTCAGAGGTCGTCTGTACACACTGTCAGTATAGTCAATAGGGTGATTACTATAACCGCGGCCATACTTGAACAGAAGAATATGTGGCTCCGGTTCGTGAACCTCGTAGTGTTCCCATCCCAGACTCTATTAAACTCCAGGTTAGTTGTTTCACCCCGGCATGATTTTTTGTCGGCTACTGCGTACTTGAGTGATACCAAGAGCTCGCCATTCTTCCTCCCATAATAGTTTAAGGGTCCCTTTTGAGCTGTCAAAGTAGTCGGCGGGAATTTTTTTTAGCATGTTCTTTGGCAGCTGAACGTGACGGTATTCAAATTGGTCATCGGAGTATCTGCGCGTGTTAAAGAAGCTGGCTATGGTGCAACTAAACGTACGCACCTTGCTGAGTAGTGGATAGAGTCGATAAACTCGTCTAGTCTCTCACGCTCGGATTCAAGCAAAGGGCGGGGCTTTTTGTTCTTCCGGCTAGGATCGATCTCCATTTGGTCAATAGATAGCGATTGAATGGGCTATTGGCGTGGTGATAGTAGTATGATAGTAGTGTATTGCAGAAGGACGCCAGAAGAATGTGTATGTTAAAGTGAAACTGATTGATCGTTTGTCAGGCTCTTTCTTATTTCTTATATGGGCGGAGAAGGAACCCGGAACCCTTCATTCCTAGTGAGAGCAACTCATTGTTATGGGCTGAATTTCTTACCGTGCTATCTTTTAAAGTTGAGCACCAATGCAAAACTGTATTGACGCGTGGTGAAGTTGCTGGCTGAACGAGGTGTTGAGGGTTGATCCAGAGCTCTGATCTCAGGTTGCGGGCTTTTAAAGTTGTCCGACCTGTTTTGTCGGGGTCTGCAACCATGTTAATGCCTCAGGTATCGAAAGTTTTTACCAGCCAAAATACTAAGTTCCAATCGTCGAAAAGAACACCGTTAGTATTACTACGTACAACTATTAGCAACAGCCTTACCAGCGTCGATCTATTTGTTCAATCCCAAATAACGACCTACTATTAGGACTTCGATATCCGTGTTCTGCACGTCATAACGCACTGGGAATACTATTAATTCTAATATAGTAACCACGAGTGCTACTGCAGTCGAAGTAGAAAGTGCTGTACCTATGATGGATTTAGTTCTAGGCACTGGCCTCTGTACCAAGGGGGATGGGGATTTTTTTTTTTTAATTTGCTACGTATGCGCCTTCTCTGGTATTATCAGAGACTTTATACTTACCTTACTGATAGTTCCAATTCTACTTGAACTTATTAGCTTTTCCAATAATCTCTTGGAATAAGTACTACTCAGTTTTGGTTCAGTTGGATGGCGGCACGTTGGCAAGGCAAGCCTGCCGGGCCGATAAGCTCGTTAATCGCAGCAGTGATGGTGGCTTATCTAATCCTGTTTCCTTCCGATAGTTAGCCCCGCCAACCATAATTCTGGGTATCCAACCGAGGACGCGAGGCAAAAAAAAAGTTTCGAAAGTGGGTTATTTTTTTTGCCCTCCAAAATTTTACCGCTCCCACTTACAAAGGCTGGAAGCGGATATATAACACCCTCGACTCTACCTTTTTCCCCTTTCAATTAACCACCCGCCTTTAAAACCTACATACCCAACACCTTTTACTCCCTCCCCTGTCAAAATGTCTGACGAGGTTTACGAAGGCGCCATTGGTATTGACCTTGGTAGGCACTAATAATATTTTGTTCTTCCTTACAAGCCCTTTTCGGTCTCGCTGACAGCCAACCCAGGCACAACTTACTCTTGTGTTGCCAACTATGAGGGCACAAATGTGGAAATCAGTATGTTTTGAAAAAAAAAAGAGACATTTGACAAGACCATTTACCAACCTCGCGTTTAGTTGCCAATGAACAGGGTAGCTACACAACTCCCTCTTTCGTGTCTTTCACCGATAAGGAGCGTTTGATTGGCGAGGCGGCGAAGAATCAGGCGGCCATGAACCCCCAGAACACCATCTTCGATATCAAGTAAGTTGAGATTGAGGCTAGCGTAGAAGCCGCGAAACCTGACTTCGTTTCTTCTCTCCAGACGTCTCATTGGCCGACGCTATGAGGACCCTATCGTCAAGAAGGACGTTGAGTCTTGGCCCTTCAAGGTTGTTGACCAGGGTGGAAACCCTGTTGTGGAAGTCGAGTACCTCGAAGAGACCAAGACTTTCACTCCCCAAGAAATCTCATCCATGGTTCTGATGAAGGTACGCAATGGCCATTTTATTCACTTCAGTCAATGACCATTCTTTGCTGCACTGCTTGATCAATCACATGCTAACACGGCCTATAAATAGATGAAAGAAGTCGCTGAGACTAAACTCGGGAAAAAGGTTGAGAAGGCTGTCATTACCGTCCCAGCCTACTTCAACGACAACCAGCGTCAGGCTACTAAGGATGCTGGTGCCATCTCTGGTCTCAATGTTCTCCGTATCATCAACGAACCTACCGCCGCTGCTATTGCCTATGGTCTGGGCTCTGGAAAGTCTGAGAAGGAGCGTAATGTTCTGATTTACGATCTTGGCGGTGGTACCTTCGATGTCAGCTTGCTGAACATCCAAGGTGGAGTTTTCACGGTCAAGGCGACTGCTGGTGATACCCACCTTGGTGGTCAGGACTTTGACACGAACCTTCTTGAGCACTTCAAGAAGGAATTCCAGAAGAAGACTGGCAAGGACCTTTCTGGTGATGCAAGGGCTCTGCGTCGTCTAAGAACCGCCTGTGAGCGTGCCAAGCGCACTCTCTCCAACGCGACTCAGACCACTGTCGAAATTGACTCATTATTCGATGGTGAGGATTTCAACACCTCTATCACTCGTGCTCGCTTTGAGGATCTCAATGCCAAGTCATTCTCTGGCACTCTTGAGCCAGTTCAGCAGGTCCTGAAGGATTCTGGTCTCGGAAAGGAACAAGTTGATGAGATTGTGCTCGTTGGTGGTTCTACCCGTATTCCTCGCATCCAGAAGCTGCTGAGCGACTTCTTCGGCGGTAAGAAGCTAGAGAAGGTGAGTTGTTCTTCTAATGTCCTGGTATTATAGATAAGGATAAAACTTACAATACTTGCAGAGTATCAACCCCGATGAGGCTGTTGCTTATGGTGCTGCCGTTCAGGCTGGTATTCTTTCTGGAAAGGCTACTTCCGCTGAAACCCAGGATCTTCTCCTCCTGGATGTTGTTCCTCTTTCTCTTGGTGTTGCTATGGAGGGCAACATCTTCGCTCCCGTGGTTTCCCGTGGTCAGACTGTCCCCACCATCAAAAAGCGTACTTTCACCACTGTGGTGGATAACCAGACCACTGTGCAGTTCCCTGTGTTCCAAGGTGAGCGTACTAACTGCGCCGACAACACCTCTCTGGGCGAGTTCACCTTGGCTCCCATTCCGCCTATGAGAGCTGGAGAAGCTGCTCTGGAGTGTGTTTTTGAGGTCGACGTCAACGGTATCCTCAAGGTCACTGCCACAGAGAAGTCCTCCGGCCGCAGTGCAAACATTACTATCTCTAACGCTGTCGGCAAACTTTCTACCACTGAGATTGAGCAGATGATTGACGGTGAGTCAGCTCCTATCTAGCGTCTCCCTCCCAAATCTAGAGCGTCACTGATTTTCTCTTTCTTTTGCGAAGATGCTGCCAAGTTTAAGACTAGCGATGAGGCCTTCACCAAGCGATTCGAATCCCGGCAACAGCTCGAGTCGTACATCTCCCGCGTTGAGGAGATCGTCTCTGACCCCACCATGTCGATGAAGCTTAAGCGTGGTAACAGAGAGAAGATCGAGTCCGCACTCAGCGATGCTATGGCACAGCTTGAGGTCGAGGATTCGACCCCAGACGACCTGAAGAAGAAGGAGTTGGCTCTCAAGAGACTCATTACCAAGGCTATGGCTACGCGGTAAAGGTCGAATTTATGGCGGCATGACTTGATACTTGCGAGTTGGACATAGTAAGAATTCCGGGCTGGAATTACTTGGCATGGGTTGGGGGAATGATCGTTATCAAAAGTATCTTCTAGATTTTATACATGAGGGTAGCTTGGAGCTTTAATGATTACGACGAGTCTGTCAATAAAATGAAAATATATGTAGACTCTTTGCAACTGCATCTTCTAAGATATCCAAAATATTGTAGCTAGCTATACGGGAGGGAGTCTTGACCGTCGACTTTCCAGTTCCCCCAGCAGGAATCTTCACGGAATGGAGAAATTCGGGTTGAAGTGGAGTAAGACTTGCTCTCAGTTTCTTGGCACCACCGGACAGTTATGCGAGCCTATACCTACCAGGAAGTTGAAACCTTTCGTCCCAGTCTTTAACAGTCAATTATACTTTACTATCAAAAATCCCGTACAATAATGATGCGCCATCCTACAGTATTTACGCAGCAATTTTTACCGTTTTTTAAAGCACCCCATTCCCAAGCCGTATATGGGATAGAACTCCGACGCCATACCCTTCTACGGAACTTCTCCAATTCGCCATTCTCAAATAAAAGTAAGAGACGGGATATCGTGAGGCAATCAGATTCGGAAGCGAGATCTTCTCAGGCAATTTCTGCGCCCGGGGACCCTCTAGACCTTTCACAACTTGAACACGGGATTGCGGCCGCAGTATCTCGACTCAAGGATGAGCTTTCAAGGCTCCGCATGGGAGGGAGGTTGAGCACGGAGACAATCGAGGGTCTTCGTGTCCAGTTGAGCAAGGGAGCGAAGGAAACAGCGAAACTAGGAGAGATAGCCCAGGTTGTACCCAAAGGTGGACGCATGGTAACTGTTTTGGTCTCTGAGGAGAACGTATGTCTAGACATTGATAGAAGATCCCCGATTTCGTCCCAGTCTGATTCGTCTTTACACAGTATGTGAGACCTATATCATCGGCAATTCTTTCCTCCAGATTATCCTTGACTCCGCAACACGACCCTCATAATGGCCTCCAACTCAACATCCCGATTCCGCCGCCAACGAAAGAATCTCGAGACCAGACTATTCTCGCTGCAAAGACAGCCATGGAACGAGCTGCTAGTAGCGTCCGTGATTCGCGCGGAGTTATCCATAAACGTCTTCAGGAAATCGTTAAGAAAAAGATTGCCAGGCCGGATGATGCCCGGAAATCACAAGATAAAATGGAGAAGCTGACGGAGAAGGGTCAGAAAGAGGTGAAAGAGCTATTCGAGGCCGCGAAGAAGGTTATGGAACGAGTATAAGCTTGAGAGTGAGGGTTCAATGCTTAAATTTTGTATCAACATGTAGGGTAAGATGACACAATTCGTCGTACATATGACGTGTTCTTTGTATTTGAAGTCTGTACATCATATGTTGTCACAAGTACAACTAGCTATCGAGAATAAAAGGATGAAATTGCGGATACGCAAGGGAAGACAATAATATACAATAACCCCAGTGGGTGGATTCATCTTGTCAAACACTTTTGGCTGGGCGGTTGACAGTTAGGAGTGATTCTAGCTTTGCCATGAATTGTGTCTTTTTCCCGGAAGCTTGGTAAGTCTCGTTGTTTCTCAGGCTTTTTAGAACCTCACCGATAACAGTGGGCTTGCTGGCCTGCGGTATACCCACCGTGGGATACTTTCCCTGAACTAGAGACTCAACCAAAGAGCTATGCTCTGCACTTTCCACGCCTTTGAAAGTCAAGGCCTCGGGATCTACCAACTCGCCCTTTTCCTGTGAGAGCTTGTCTGCAGCCTCCTGGGCAAATTTTTTGGCGGCGTCTAGAGCTTCGGCCTGCTCCTCCTCACTCCGGAACTGGACAAATTTCCCCTCAAAAAGTCGCTTGCCGAGTACGTAAGGTGGGACGTAGCCATTCGGATAGCGTTCACTAAGTAGCGAAAGTTTCTCAGAAATGCCTGCAGTAGTCGCCGTAATATCTGTCGGCAATGACGGCCATGTCTCACTCAAGCTCTGTAAGTCAGAGAACTCAGGCTGATAGCGAGTGCGGGTGGGGTTTGTTTTCTCTGCAAGTTCTCGATACACATTTTCAAGTTCAATAATCTGGTCCGTATCATTATCCTCTGCACTTGAGTATTTCTGAGGAAAGTGGCCAGATTTGCGCGACGCCGGCTTCGAGTTATAGGGCTTTCGTGTACGCGCCGACGTCCCACCTCGACCTGCTGAGCGGCGTGGGCCTTTAAGGATATTTGCTGGCTGGCCACCAGGTTTAGAGGCTGCCAAAGACCTCGCATCGATGATTCGGCGCGGACGAGGCCTGTCTGGACTGGGACTGTTGAACTTTAATTGTGCAGGCGGGATTCGTTTCCTTGGTCGGTCGACTGACGATTTGGAAGAATTCGATTGAGCTGTATCGCAATTAGCATCGATTCGTAGTAAGCCTGAGAGGCATCACTGGGCCACAATAATTTGTACTCTGAGTTGCAGAGCAATGTAGACATTGATATGCTCAGGGAGACTTGAGCCTGAAATACTGCGACTTACTGGGTGGAGGTGAATCTGCCTTCGATGTCCTGGATACGGAAAATTGCCGAGCTGAAAGGATGGATGGCTCTATCCATCCCACATGCCGTGGGCGCAGTAGCATGGTCCGTAGTTGAAGCATCCTAGACCACAACGCTTGATAGGGGCCAGAGGTGTCGCATCCACTTTGGAAAAGATTCCTGTCGTCGGATTTCCGACTTTGGATATCACGTGATACAATTGCGCGGATTTCATAATCCTAGGTTGGTTCAACAACGGGCATTGTAGAGCTGACCTCGAATATCACCTCATTATCCCTTCCAATAGATTTACATAACACTGACATTACAGTTGTTAGTAAAACTTTCACAATGATCCGCCGAAAACCCACTGCCATAACAATCACATCCGATGATCTTACAATCTTCGAGGAAGAGCGACTGCGCAAATTGGAACGTGAAAACAATGGTCGCGAGTCCGCGCAGAACCGCATCCGCGCCAACTTTGACCCTAGCGACGAATTGAAGCCTTTACCTGGTGATAAGGCAAGAATAGTTAGATCTCGTGAAGAGCGTATAGGCACTGGCCAGCGCACTTGAGCCATGAACTCGGTAGGCTGAAACCACGATTATCTGCTAGAGGTGTAATACAACCCTGGGATTATCTGTTGCTTTTATGTCTTCAAGCTAATCAAGGCATCAAATTAGGTGCTACTATTCTTGCCTTGAAGCTTTTATGATGGGGCTCTTGTGTCATCTCACAAATCTCCAATGCGTAATTTATTTGTGCCTCCCTCTCTTTTTTTGTACGTATTTGGCACATCTGAGAAGCTCTTCTAAAAATGTCAACTGTATACCTTTTGAGGGACGCACAAATAATATTTTGAGTCTGCCCCGGAAACTCGCGGATGCAAAATGAAAGTGATCTAGGCACGATGTTTGACAATACATGAGGGTAGCAAATGAAGGATCTATGATTATACTGGAAACTGCTTGTCAGGTTCGGAAACGACGGTATCAAGTACTACTGTACGTTAAATCATAAGCACCTGAAGGGGAGTTCATGTGTTGAATACGGAAGGCAATGAGTGAATAATGGCTATGAAGAGATTACAAAGATCAATATTAGACAATTGCGAAAAGAATTTGAGAGGAATATGATTGAAATAATTCATGGGTATCATGCTGAATTTCGTCTATATTCACTATAGCATTGTACAATTAGTTATTACGCCCACGGGCGCGTCCATACCATCCAAATGGCGCAATGTGACCAATATTAGGAGGACCCGGGTGATGATGATGGTGTTGTTATGTCAACGTTGGCGCTTAGGGTTATTATCCATACCCAAGTCAACGGAGTAGTTCCAGCGCCTTTTCAGGCCATGCGGATCATACACGCTTGCCACGCTTTGTTGCCAATCGCGCGCCGTAAACACCACTTGTTGCCCGTTTATCTGTGGCTGTGGGACCGATGGGGGTTGTGTGGCAGCAATTTTTGTTGGCTGTTGATATTGTAAGGCATACTGGTCCACCAAAGCAGGTTGTACCCCTTGTGATGTTCCAGGCATTGGCATCGGCGGAGAGTTTGTATTCACGGCAGGACTAAATGAAAATGCCATGTCCCATTGGCTATACACAAGAGGTCAGTGAGGGAAAACTGGGAGTCTTCGGTATTCCATACTTGATAATACGAGTCGGATCCCAGCTATTCTCATCCACCAAAGGAGCTTCCGTATGGACAGGATGCGTCGCAAGTATATTGGCGGGTTGTAGTTGAGGTGTACCAGCCTTCGACTCTTCAGTGTCAGCCGATATCGGAGGGGTTATAGGATAGGGGTGGAAGCCAGCTCTTTCTTGTAGATTAGAGATCTGGCTAGGCTGTGGGTGATATTGTGTCTCTAGAGTAGGACTGGGCTGGTATGGCTCGGATGGGCTTCCGTAAGGGAACGTGGGTTTCAGCTCAAATGGTCGGTTTGTGTTGGCGGAGAATGCAAGCCGTAAAGAATCGATCTGTGCTTGAATCTCTGGCATCGGCCAAGCCGATGAACATCGCTCGAGTATCCGCATATGGCGAGTAAAATAATCTCGCGCGTCAGTGTGAAAGTCAGGGTCAGGAGATGTTATGGCAACCTGCCAAACTTTAGTCAAGCCATGGTTGGCGCGGAATGGGAATAGACTTAACTTACGAGATGTAACATAGTGCATGTCAGTATACAGTAAATAGTGAAATTAATGCCTCTTTGCATGAAAAGAAGACCAGACAGCCCAAACCGAGAAAGAATTGCCTCTTGGAGTTTGCAGAGGCACTTCGCAGACGAGTAGCATAACGCCATATGCATCTTCCAATTTCCATTTGCTGGAAACTTTGAGGCAAGCAATTGGGGTCGGTGGCAAAGAACTATGCCCAAATGACAATGCGAATGCATATTACCAACAAAGTGAGAAGGGATCCACGGAGGGGATCCATCCGGAGGGTAGTTGACCTGTAAATCCGGAGGAAGGCTTTGCAACCATTCGGCGAAAAGAGGATTGTTTTCAACGAACTTGGAATTAGAACCCCAGTCTTTTTGCCTCTTGATCTTGTGGTAAACATCGGTGAGTATACGTATATGATGAGCGTTCCGAACGAAATAGGCATATTGCCGGGTTCGATCAATTTCGAATTGATCCATGTTCTTGATATCTAATTCGGGTTGCATATTAACTGTTTGTGGATCCACGCCATAGTCCGAACGACCTAAGATTATCAGTACCGCTAACTCCGTACGCCGAGCTTGGATAGAGATATATATACCTTGCGGCGCACCTATCATGACCTCGATAACTAAAAGGGCCTGCCATATTCTGGTTCGAACTAAGCATTCAACCGGGTTTAGATTGCAGGTTCTTTCCTCGAGATGAATATTGTAATGTTCATGGATATCCAAATCTTTAGCCATCGATATAATTGTCTTGACAGTTTGCCACGATCGGTAATAATAGCCTTTTTTGGGCAATGACTCTCGTGCCTTTAGGAGAAGAAGGAGCGCTTGGATTGTGCTCAAGCGCGGGACATCCATAAAGCTAGACTCATGTCCTGAAAATAGAAGTTGAAGTCAGTATCAATTATGAGTCAGAGTGGCTGAAGAGGCCTCACTAGTTGCTAAAGCCAGCCATTGTGCTCCTTGAGCTGGGTCGTCAGATAACCTTCCTGCGCACGCAAATAAAGCCTCAAGCAGAAGAGGAGAGATTGATCTTCGATCATTCTGCCATTGATAATACAGATGTGCTCGGTGAACAACGGGTACATAGGGGTGGATATCATCAAAATATATCTTAAAATAGTTCATGACTTCATCATCTGATGGCATGAGTTCTGGAGGGATGCGAATCTTGGAGCCAGCTCCAGTGCGAAGAGGGGGCAGATTTTCTTCCGTCTCATCCTGTGTCGGAATTTCCGGCTCTGATCTGTCCATCCTCTGTTGTCGAATATATGGTGCTATCCAGCGATTAATTGACATCACTTGGAACAAAAGGGCACAGACTCACCAATTCCTGTCTCATCGATTTTTAACTCACCCAGTACTTCGCTGAGGTTCTCGGCAGTGGAATGTTCGTGATCCCCCAATTCTACTCCTTCAGTTGTCCCCATGGTTTCTGTGTGAGGAACAGGGAACATCTGCTGGGGCTGGTATGAAGAATGTGGTGGCCTAGCTTCATAAAGACTAGATTGGCTCGAGACGGGTTCAGGCGCATAATTGGGAAATGAGCCTACACCGTCATTGTAGTGAGGCATTATTTGCCCATGGGGGGAAACCCCATCGCGATAGGGTTGTGGAATAGCATACGATGAAAGTGAATGCGAAGATTCCGGCGCATTAAATGTGCCGAGTGAGTTAGGCTGGTACCCTTCGGGGCCTTGTCCCGAGGCGAAATCGCCGTCCTGCCCGATGGCAGGAGGCACACACACTAACTTAAGTCGAGTACATGCCGAACAAGGCCAAGTGTTTGTTGTGGCAGCGTCGCACTTTATCTTTCGCTTCCGGCAACCATTGCATGCGCGCATCACTAGATAACCAGCGCTCAGCAATGAATAAGGTATAGTGATCACGACTGGTTTACCTTTGAGTCTTTTGTGTCTGTTATGCTCATCGACAAAAACGTAGTCTGGTTTGAAACGGGGCATTAGCGGTCACCCATATATTAAACAATTTATTTCTCAAGGGATGCAATCGAGGAGGGTGTTCCGGGGTGAGGATAGCGAAAAGCCTTACTTTTCTGCCCTTCGCGTGGAGGGCCCGTCGGGGTCATATATGAATATCCCTGCATTTCGGATATCAAGTCGAAGTGGTTAAGGGAAAGGGGATGTAAGTTCGAATATAACTGACGGGCAAAAAAAGAAAGCTTCTTGTGAAAGGAGCGCAGCTATCGCAAGGCCCGCCTTGCTTTCCACACGAGTTGCAAGTTTAATCGTCGCAGCTCACTGGTCTTGTAGGCTGGTTTAAGTGTTGAATTGCAAAAACCGTAGACAATCGACTCAAATGCAGGACTTCACGGTTATGCGCACTCCAGGTAAAGCTTTATCCAAAGATCTATGCAAAACACAACCGAAAGCAACTGTAAAACTGCCGATGCGGCGCGAGAATGGTATGAATATCCTGACACCTTTTTTTTTTTTTAACTCAAGACGTAGGGTTCGACAATCGCGATGGCGCTGGCGTATTCCCAACCAACGAGAAGATATATTGGGCCGGATAACTTGAAAGCCGATCTGGCTTGTCTCCCCGGGAGACAAAATCGAAACTGTAATATGTGACAAATGTATGGTGTCTAGGGTGGTTGCTGCGCAAAAGTCAGTGTAAAGAGATAAAGGTGGGCAGGTGTAACGTGGAGAGGGAGGCGTGTACGACAAGCAGTTGTGGAAAGCGTAGCTCTTTGGAGTCGAATAACAAATGCGCAATTCACGAATAAGCGCCAAATGGAACGACACGCTCCTTAATGGGCTGGCAACAAGAGAAGAAGGGGCCGAGGGAACTCACAGCTAATGAGTAAATGAGGTTATGCGGAGCGCATTGTGGACTAGCAGCACCAATATTTATATAACATTCAGTTCTGACTGTTTGCTCTCAAGATATGAGCTGGGACAGGCATTACAGTCCAA